AGTGAAATATTGTTCCCTAAATCTAACTTAGAGTACCTAGTTTAGACTTAGTTTTGTTTAATTCAAACTAGCTTAGTAAACTCCTCATATTTTTTAAGTAGTGTAGTCCTTTAACTAATAATGTATAATGACAAGTTAGTCACTTTGTGAAAGTCTGTAAATTATTTAGGTATTTCGCAATATCTTAATAAAGACATGTCATTGTGGTATGATTGCAGGTTAAAAAAAAATAAAATAAATAAATAAATAATTTTATAAATTTAGTTATACAATACTTTGTATAAATAATTTTATAAATTTAGTTATACAATACTTTGTTTACATTATAAAAGCCATTTAATTTTTTAAAAAAAGAAAGAATTCTTATTTTTCTTTAAAAAAATTATTTAAATCATAATATTACTTTTTGTGAAAAAATAAGTCATACTTCTATTTTAAGAATTAAGAATTTAAAAGAAATAAGCAATATATATACTTTATCAAGACCTAGCTATTAAAGAATATTTATTAAATGTCATAAAAGAAATATAGTCAAACTTATTAAATTGGATGAATATTTAAATATAGTTCAAATTCAAAAAAGATTAATTTATAATAAAACTATTATTGTTTCTATAAATACAATTAGATACATATTAAAAAAAACAAATTTAGTAGCTAAAGTAAAAAAAAAAGCCTTTATCTCAAGCTAAAAATAAAAAAAAAAAACCAAAAAAATTTTGCAAAAAAAATTTCTAATTTATTTATTAAAAATTGAAGAAATATAAATTTTTTCTAATAAAATTAAATTTTTTATTTTTGGTTTAAATAAAAGAGAATGGTATTGAAAAAACTAAAATAATTATTATTATCTTAATATGCAAAGCTGACAATAAAGTTTGATGGTAAATGTATAATGATATGGGATTGTATATGTATAAATAGTATAGAAAATTATTGTAAAATTGATAAGATAAATAAGGAATTGTATTGTAAGATACTAAAAGACAAACTTATGGGAACCTTGTGGGCATTGAATTTGAAACAAGATGAGATTATTTTTCAACATAACAATAATTTCAAACATATGACAAATATGACTACAAAATGGCTTAATGAAAATGAAATCAAGGTTTGCCATATTCACCTGACCTAAATCTGATAGAGCATTTATGGAATAAAATTGATCGTCGTTTATGAAAACTTCCTGATAATATTTTACAATAATTGACACAATGCCACAGTGAATTAAAGATGTAATCAAAGCCAAGGGAGGTTATACAAGATGATTATGGTTAAATTAGATTTGTTATTTATTTATTTTCGATTAAATCAAAAAATTTACATATGTACATATTTTTTTTATTTTGCACCAAAATTATTGTTCCATAAAGTTTTCGATCATATAACATTTTTTTAAAAAAAGTTTAAATAAATATCAATAAAACTTAAAAGTTTAATTAAAGAAGTTATAAGCTATATGCTATCAAAGTTTGTTAATCGTATAATGGAAGTCACTGTAGAAGTTAAAGATTTGTCTTTTAATCTTAATCACGTATACATTACGCATAAGCATAAAGGAACGAATTAAGGCATAGTATCCCTGGAGAGCAACAAATTAGAAACATTCAACGTTTCACAAGGGTGTGATTCGTAAAGATCATTTGACGATCAAAAATCCCATCTAAAATATGCCCCGAGTATTCTTGTTGAATCAATGCAAGTGAGGATCTGACCTATGTCAATAGTTTTATTTATGTAATTAATAAACAAAGACGTGCCTCAAAAATAAGCGAGTCGTCGAGATTCTGTGATTGTAAAAAAAAAAAAAAATAGAAGCCTAATTCTAGTTTGGTAATATACGTATATTTCAATGGAAAGCTACTCTTAATAACAGTTGCCTCTCAAAAAAAATCCTAAAAATGCTAACCAGAGTATAATGTGTGGGGTTTAGAGTAAAGCAGATCATTTTAATTGTTCAAAACCCCCCGCCTAATACGAGCGCGAGAATCTCTTGTCTAAATATGTAATCCGAAACCCATTTCTATCAAGTACAAGAATAAATATTGTGCCGCCCATTTATCCGCAACCATTCGAGTCGGACTACCTTGGATATTCTCATTCTATCTTGTTTATTCTTAATTCAAAAGAAATTCGGCATCACATCTCTATCTTGTTATATAATCATCATGTTGCAAAGGTTCTTCCCTCAATTCAATTTTCGAAGCAAAACTCAAAATGAATAACAGTAAATCTAATCATTATTTCATCTATGCGTTTGTTACAGCAATAACTTTTGCCTTTATCTATCCACCAGCATCTGCGGTGACTCTTGCTCGCCGAGGGACAGACGACTCAAGTAGGTGATTTCCTCTAAAAAAAAGGGAGAACGAAAAAATATATCGTCGACACTTCGAGTTTTGATGTGTAGTTTTTGCAATGTAGTAGGATTAGAATCTTCACCTTATCACATCGTCTCCAGTAACCTTTGTGATCCTAATGTAAAGCAGGTAACCTCCTATCCAGAAACCTCTTTATAGTCATACCGTTCTTCATTAACATAATTTACAGTATTCCGGCTACATAAAAATTGGACCCGCCCAACATATGTTTTTCTGGTTCTTTGAATCCCGCAAAAATCCAAAAAGCGACCCTTTAACTTTGTGGCTTAATGGCGGGCCCGGTTGTACATCTCTATTTGGTCTCTTTGAAGAATTGGGACCATGCCGCCCAATAAACAATGGTTCTGATACCAAGATTAATCCCTACAGCTGGAACAATGCATCTAATTTGCTGTTCGTGGATCAGGTATGTATTTGTTTAATTTGGTCGATTGCCTGTCCCTAAGGTAACTTCGCTTGTCCCAATAGCCTATCGACGTCGGGTATTCCTTTGGTAAAGGCATTGCAAATTCAACGGTGGAAATTGTCGCTCCGCTATATACATTCCTGCAACTGTTTCTTGTCAGGTTCCCAGAATATTCGAAACAAGACTTCCATTTCTTCGGGGAATCTTTTGCAGGACATTATGGTATGCACGTGATATTTTTTTAATTGAATTAAATGGAGCAAATAGCAAATTAAAATTCTCGTTCACTTTTCATAGTATCGGCCACGGCAAAATATATATGCGATATGAACCAACTAATTTTGGAAAAGAAAGAGGAGGGAATTGCGATTAACCTCCAATCTGTGGGAATAGGAAATGCCGATATCGATGCGTATACCCAAATGTTAGTTCTTGTATCATTTGTATAATTATGCTTTAGGTTACCTTCCTAATATTAACGTAAATTTTCTTCCTATAGTGCTTCATATCCAACCTTTGCGCGTTACAGTTCTTGTAGGCTACTTAACCTTTGTTTTATTATTATTATTTTTTCTTTGGTGGCTCTAAACTTACAAAAGACGATATTTTATATGATGATAGATGGTCAGCTTGTGTCAAGTGATGTTATTGGACAGATGGAAAGTTATCTTCCAAAATGCAAAGAGCTATGTAGGTACCGGGGTCTTTAAAACGAATTGCATTAATGTACTAATGGTCACCTGACATTAAAATAATAGTGGACAAATGTGATGTGACGAACAATGACACTGATTGTGCATCCGGCTTCAATTATTGTAATCTCTACATATTAGGAACCTTTGATGCTAATTCTGGCCTTAACGATTACGACGTTCGGCTGCCTAATACCACTGATGAAGTACCAAACGATTTCGTAAATTACATAAACCATACTAATGTGAAAGAGGCAATTGGTGCAAAAGGTTCGTTCAAAAGATGTAATGATGCAATCTATTGGAATTTCCGAGCGACTGGAGATATGTAAGTTCGGTGTTAACTTAGGGGTTGATGAGTTTTGGTGTGATTTTCGGTGTTAGCTTAGGGGTTGATGAGTTTTGGTGTGATTATTCGGTGTTAACTTAGGGGTTGATGAGTTTTGTGTGATTATTTAACACTGTTAATGTGAAAACAGGGGAAGAAGCTCTAAGAACTACATCAGTTATCTCTTAGATCGAGGCGTCCGAGTTCTTGCTTACAATGGTGACGCAGATTTTATTTTAAATTGGTAATCTATACCTTTTTTTTTCCAACCCTTCGCAATATTTGAACATTTCATAACAGAGTTTCTCGTACCGTTAAAAAGGTTCGGAACACGAAATTGGACCAACGCACTCGAATGGAATCACAAAAAGGAATTTAACGACGCTCCATTCAAAGAGTGGAACGTACAAGGGAAACCTGCGGGGCAGTATCAGCAGTCAAATGGCTTCTGGTTCGTAAGAGTTTATGGAGCTGGTCATGAAGTCCCTTATTTTCAACCCCTTAATTCATTCTATATGTTCGAAAGGTGGATTAATCTGTTGAACTTGTAAACTAATTTATGAAATAATGAATAACTATTATAAACATTCACGTGTAGTGAAGGACATGACCAGTTTTAAAGTTTCATCGTTGATGACGTCACTGAAATCGAATAAATAATGACTGCCATAATGATAGGTCCTAAAGTCTATTATACAGTAGCTAAAAGTTTTATAATCTAAAGTGAATCATGTGCTTTCAAGACTTTAGGTTATAGAATATAGTTTTATAATTAAAAGCTAAATTTTATAATTAAAATCAATTTATGATCAAAAGTCAATTTTTTATAATTGAAAATTTTAATATATAAAACTAAAAACATAAGATATAATATATAAAAAACTCATTTCATTGATTCTCTGATTACACACAAAAAATATTTGCAAGAAGTTTTTTTGCTTTTAAAATCTTAATATTTTTATTAAACCAATTTGAAATATATAATAATTTTAAAAATCATTTTATCTTCTTTCTAATAAGTTTATATATAAGATCTAATATAGAAAAGAATAAAAGATGGATTTACATGACTTGTGGATCAATAGTACAGTGGTAGTATTCCCAGGTCACAATCCCAAGGTCTGTAGTTCAATACCACTTAATAATCAAAAATTAAAAATTACCTTCTGATCAGGTTTTATCAGTTATCCTGTAAAAGTTATATCTAATCATCTGGAATAAGATCCAATCAGGTTAGATTATAGAAATATGAAACTTCTGGTCTTCTGTTGATCAGGGTTTGAGATTTATAGTTGTACTATTGGAAGGATTGCATGAAGAAAGGTTTCTAGTCTAGTCTACCTTAGATACTCTCTAGACTCCTGTCTTGGCAATCCTTAAGACACCTACTTTCTTAGCTCAAAATATCCCAATCTGATACTCCGCTTAATTGAAAATCAGTTAATAGAGATTGATCCAATGCCACAGGTGATGACAAAAAAGGTAATATGTCTTCTTCTGAAATCTAAATGAATAATATCTGGAAATATTGAAAAGTATAAAATATTCCATCTTTTTTTTTTTTTGACAAGCTTATATCTAACTTTATTGATTCCCAAATTACAAGTTTATATTACATAAAGTGCAAATACATGGATATAAATTCAGGGAAAATAAAGATAGTAATAAGCTAAAGTTATTCTAAAGCTACTTCGAGACTTATTGCCCTTTCTTTTTCTAAAGAAAACTTGGTATCCTTAAAGCATGCTGGTGTCATAAATAAAAATAAAAAAAGTAAAAAAAAAAATTAACAGTCATATAAAATGTGTCAGTCCTGTTTTTTGGCACATGCTTGTCTTGTTCTAATTCTCTCATAAAAAGATCTAAAGGAAAACTTCTATTAAGTCTTTATGGAGATAAGGTGAAGGTCAAAGGAAAGGCTGTATAGTTTTAAGACTTATGAGGAGGGAGTAGCCAAGAAAGCCTAGATGATATATTGGTATTCACATGATTAACAAGAAAGTTTTCTAGTATATCATCAATTAAACTCATTCTTATCTAAATATGAGTATACTTACTCATCTGTACATCTTATTTCAGATTTAATTCCTTATATAAAGAATAGCATCTAGCCTTGTGATTGACATATCTTACTAGTGACTATTGATACTAATGATCAATGAGAATCTTCTAGATATTCCAGCTAACTTGCATATCACTACTAACATTTTTGAACTTGAGTTTTGATTGGTATAATAGTGTTAACCTTCCAGTCTTCCAGCTTAGCTTAGGATTTTTTGAAAATAGGATAAAAACTTTTTAGGTTACTTTGCGCATAAGCTTTATTACTGAGTATCCTTAATAACTACATACTTTCTCTGATTTAGACTTTCCGGTAATAGAGGTTGAAACCTATTTGCATACAATTAGGATATAGGTGACTCTGACTTGAAAAAAGTCAATCGAGCATCTTGTAACCTTTACTATGATTGGATGGACCCTTTCTTGTATTCAATGATGTATTGGTACTGTATCTTATATCTATACACATCATTACATGTGACTTATAGTAAACCCCAGGTTCTTATGAATCTGAGAAAATGTATTTAGACATATAAGATAACCAATAGAAGCTTGTTTATCAATCTTGTCTGATATATTTTATATCAGTCAATCAGAATCAGTGAGATCTATGCTATCCGAAATTTCAGGATCAAGCTAGGATAGGCAAAATTTCCCAGAAAGCCATGAAAAAGGTAGCTCTAAAAGATCACAAACCAGTCAAAGGATAGAAAAGTGAGTTCTTTAACTGGAACAAAACCTTTGTTATCTTTACCATAGCTGAAAGGTAGGCAGTACTTCACTATTGGTCCTTTTTCCTTTAGAAACTTTTTTGCTATTGATAGTAAAGATGAAAGTTGAACTTTGCAAGCTATAAGAGTTCAGTTTGTTCAAAGAAGGTTGTAAACAAGAGAAAAGGAAAGTGAGAGAATTCTGAAAGAACTTTTTTATATTGGTTTAAAGAAAGTAGTAAGACTTTATTAACAAGAAAGTATAAAAACTTCTTGTGAATATCTTTTATATGGTCAGAGAATTAGTAGAAAGAGTTGAATAAAATATTTTATCAAGTACATATAAAAAGAACTAGTTTAGTGAGACAATAATAAACAAAAAATTAACAAGCTCAATATTAACAAGCCTAGTCACACTATTGATAACTGTATATTAATTATCTGGCCTCTAATTAGGTTTGCCTACTCAAGGAGTGGTAGCTGGTTTAACTAGGACAAATTGCAATAGGTTATTATTAATCTACATGTATATAGAAATATATAGTTTGTATGAGATGATTAATGTCACGTTATGGATTTAATTATCCCATATCTAATTATTTGTAGTTTAAAAAATAAAAAAAAAATAGATATATATGGGACACATCTTTCAAATAATTTCAATAAAAAAGCTTTCTTATCAAATTTATCAATAATAAATTATCAACTTTGAGCAAACTAGCTACTAAAAAACCTACCTAAATAAGTAAGTAAAATATATTATATGTATCTATTAATAGAATATTTGCTAAAATATCTAGTTTATAAGAATAAAGTATAAGAGATATAAAAAAAAGGAATATATAGAATTCTTAAAGACTTAACTTTTTTCACTGATCTCTATTTTTTCATAAAATTTCCTTTTTGGTATTTTTTTTGAAAAAAAAGAAACCAGCTCAAAAAACAAGAGAAATCTAATATCAAAGACCATCCACTTATAAGAAATATTATAGATACACTATAAAAACAACTAGTTACAATATAGAAATAGATAAGTACTTAAAAACTTCTAATCTTTCTATATAAAAAAAATTTTTTTAGGAAGAATAAACAAAGACAAAAACTAAATTACAGTAAGTTCTTGAAAGTTCAATATCAACCTCACAAAGTTTTCAGTCAGGCCAGTATAGATTAACACTTTTCTAGATACTGTATCAAGAGAAATCTTACAAGCAATAATTTAAACCAATAAATCAGTCTAAACTCAAATATCTATAAAATTCAAAGGGACATTCAAGCATTATTGACTACACAGTAAAGAAACATATATATTACAATAAACAAAATTTTAACAAACACAACATTATGCAAATATGTACATATATATCACTAGTCAAAAAATATTTATTTGGCATAATGTCACTCATGTAACATTCGTCAAAAAAATAAATAATTCAGCATATTAATAACATAAATAAATTGTCAATCAATTTTTACCATATAATTTGACATATAATTTGGCATAAATAAATCGTCAATCAATTTCTACTATACAATTTGGCATAAATAAATTGTCAATCAATTTCTACTATATAATTTGACATTATCTGCCATATTTGAACCATTTTTATTATATATTTTATTAAAATTTTTCTCAAAAAATCATTAGATATTCGTCAAAATTTGCACATTTGCTGAATTTTAATTATATATTATATTTACAATTTAAAGGAATTACAGCTAAATATTTACGAGAGTCTTGCTGATTTGAGGTTCTATATATAAATAGAATAAATCAGCCAAAAATATTATGAATAGGGATTATATATTCACGTCTAACTGGGTAAAATTCATTACTCCACAATTCAACATTCACGTCATTTTCAAATCTGAAATAAAATCTATTTTCTGCCGAATTAACTAGTTTGTACCACCGAATAAAGGTCAATCGATGTTCAATAACATTATTTGAAAAGTTTACCGAATGTGTAAAGAAGAATTAAACTTGTCCCAGATATAAATCAATACTTTTATCGTGATTCACAAATCTAGCTAATATAAATGAGCCCTTAATATTTTGTGAGGATATAACAGAATCGAATATTTCACTTCCAATTCGGCATCTACGATATTGATCTGCTCTATTCTGAATAATTATCGAATTTTTATTATCTTTCATAAATGGCTTCTGAAAGTCTATGGTTTTATAAGATGCCTTGTAGTATTTGACTAATAGATCTAATATTTTGTCAGATATCTCTAAATTTGGTTTTTTTAGGTGCAAGAGTTCACCTGGAAAATCTTCGGATTCATTGATTATTGTTTCGTGAATATTATATGTGTTGTTTAAAAATCGATATAATTCGTCAGCCGAAAACTGATTTAGTTCAGAAATTGAGTCGATATTTGGTCGATTATTTAAAATTTCAAGTCCCTGGT